ATGAGCTGAACATGAAGGCAATAAGTTGCCAGACCATATGAATGGCTGTGATATATTACACAAGTGCCTTCTCTTGCTCCAAGTCACTGTATTGTCCTAAATATCTATAAATAATTAGGCAATCAGAAACACAAAAATAGACCCAGTTGGGCAATTTCCTTTTCAAATTATTCTTTTATTATTATATGATGCATGGTGATCTATTTGTCCACAAGAGACTAGGCCACCACACCCTTGAAATGCCATGTTTATGAAAATCTGGAAATACAATTTGCATTCAGTTAGAAGTAGCTCTCCAATAGAGACAGGCCAGAGTTCATGTTTTGCCACCAATAAAGATCTGAAATTGAAATGCAATTTTTCCAGCTGAAAATCATTTAGCAAAGGTCCAAGCAGTTTTTTCTACAATTAAAGCAGGTAAGTCAGTTACAGGTAAGAGTGGACTCTAAGAGTCATAGTTCCAAATATAACCAATGGACCTATCTAATCATCTAATCTAATCAAATCAATATATATTACTGTTCTCATTATAACTGAAATGTCCCTGCAGACAGAAGACGTTTTCCCCTTCAGCTAGCTTTTTTAGGTGCCAAATTAAAGATTGAATTGTTCATTTCATTCAGAGATTTCAAAGAGGACGTCCTGGATAAGTTCCTTTGAAATACTGCCTTAGCTGAGAGTATTTAATATTTTGCAGAGACAGTGATTTCTTGGCACAGAACTTTCAGCAGCATCATTTAGAGCAGCATCACTAATTTCTTTCCTCCTCCAACAATGAGGATGTTGCCCTATAGTGTTCAAGTAAGATGCAAGGACTCCTTGATTTTCCTTCTCTCTTCATGGCCACATCTCGCTTTTAGGTGCTCCCTCTCTCCCACATATAGAGGGGAGGCCACCTAACCATAAAGCCATGCTAAATGAATCACATTAGTTTTCCCACATCAGGCTTCCCAGTACGGGTTTGAGGTACACAAGATTATACAGGTAATATGTAGAAACTGAATCCCAGGGATGTTAAATAACTTGCTTAAGATTCCACAGCAATTAACAGTAGCAGTACTGAGACTTGAGCACCTGAGTCCCTCCAAAGTCTGCCTTCTTTCCATCTCACCTTACCACCCAGCACACTCTGATGTGTAACATAAAGATGATATGGCTCAGCCATTTCCAGGAAATGCATTTACCTTCATCTACCAAACACACTCCCCATCTACTTTCAATCGAAGACTACTTTTCAGTTTATTCACAGAATCTCATTCCTTTTAATATTAAAGTATTTTTCCCCTTTGAGGCGACTCAACCTCACACATCATTGTACTGACGAGGTTTGAATGCTGCTTGTGTGACTTTAGACAAGATACATCAGTTTCATCATCTGAGAAATGGAATAAGGTTTGCAAGAATCGTGAGCCATCATTTGTGTATAAATCACCCAGCATGGTGCCTGGTGCACAATAAGCCTTCAATTAACGTCTGCCATTATTATTATTACTATTAATATATGACTACTAACGATTGTTTTCTAAACACTTATCTTTCTTTTTTCCTATTTCTATTTATTAGGCTTTTCATTTTTGTTTTCCTCATTTATATATTAAATTGGAATGGACGGTGTTTAATTCAGTAAAGTGGTTGGTATAACAATTGTACTTTCCATAGCATTCAACAAAACTGTCTGCAAAATGGGGTCACCGGCAGCTGGCACTTCGGAGAGAAATAATTAAGGTTTGTTCTAAACAATCCACTTACTTTTTTGCTGATCCTATATAAAGCAGGAACAACAGGGTCCTACTGACTGTTTGGTAAGGCTCAAATTTTCCTTCTAAAACCTGTCACTTACATGTAATAGGACACTCATTTAGCAAATTATTTACACATTTTAAATCACAGATGGCCTCATTTACAAAAGAATAAAGTAAAATGAAGAAAAAAGAATGTTGCTCTTTAACAGGATATTATTATAGGGAACTTTAAAAATTGTAATTAAAAATTCTAAAAATAGTGAATGTAGAATGCAAGTTCCTCATTTCAAAAAAGTAGTTAAAATTCACCTCAGAAAAGAAAGGACTATTAACTTTGATATTCTGTCAATACATATAAAATCCTAATACAAATAAATACAAAGACACAAAGGAGACAGAAATGATAAAGTGCTTGAAAGTGGAAAACAAACCCTTTAAAAACTTCTAGTCAAGAATGATTTTTTTATTATTATAGTGACTAAAAATTATTTAAAGACTTTAGATTAAAAATATTTTAAAATTTCTGATTAGTGTTCAATGATATGGGGAAAATGCTTATGATACATTCAGTAAATAGACGGAGAATAGGTAAGTAGGAAGCCAGAATGAAGAACACTGATTAGAAGAAAATATGCTAAAATATTAGCAATATTACTTTGAATGGGTAGGTGGGCAATTTTTTTCTCCTCTTTGCTTTTTCTATTCCAACACCAGGAGAGAGGGACGTTGGGACTGGAGGGCAGGCAGGAAAGGCTTTGGGGAGAAACAGCGTTCTGGTAGGGAAGATGGACCTGGCACCCAGGCGGGGCACTGACCACGGCCACAGACCTAAACCCCCACCGCTGAGCCCTCTCCAAGGTGACCTAGCAGGGACAGCCTCTCAAAACATGACTGGCAGGAGGGGGATGTTTCCCCATGAGGGTGTGCACATTGGAACCTAACTGCAAAGTCAAAAAGTACAGCGCCTTTTTCACACTGACCCCAAAAGCAACCCAGATCATTGTAACACATCACAGGTTTGCTGAATCCATACTACCTCAGCACGGCTTTTCAAATTTACTTAAAAAAAACACCAATGTCAACAGTTCGAAGAATGTAGCCCACACAGACACAATTGCACTGTAACAGCACAGTTCCTTTCTGGCTGAAATCAAGTGAATAAAACCCTACTCTTCAGGGCTGATTACTTCTGACCCATGCGAACTCTTCCAAGGCCTTTAACTCTTATGTATTTGGAATCTTTAAGTCCAGCTTATTGCTGATTCTTCCAGTTTCACCTCCAGCTTTTGATAAAGAGAGATGTGTTTGCATCATGGCTCTTCTGCAGTGCAGCCTTCTGCAGGATGCTGCCTCTGCATGAATGAGAGTCTCACCACCGCGCTTTCATCGTTCTAACCAAGCCTGGACTTAGCTTCCTGCCACTGCGGGTTTATACTTTCCAACTATAGAGCACATTTTCATCATATTAAAAAATGTACTAATGAATCAATTCAACCCTATTTCCTGGAGCGTACAACACTCCAAATTGAGGGTGGTGTACAAAACGACACACTGAGCTACTTTAACATAACGGGCCACGAAGCCTTCCTGCAATGTTTTAAACCCTCACCAGAAATATCAGGGACTAATTCTGCCGAGGGTTTAGAGATCAGCGTCAGATTTCAAAATTATTTTCTCTCTCAACAGTATTGCAATGAATGGAAATGTAAACAGAGAGATTCATTTCAGTTCCCTAAATCTCTGGAAAACCAAAAGAAATATTTCTTCCATTCCATAATTACTCGGCTATGCTTACGGATAGCATCCATCACCCCATTAATGATAGCACGAAGGGTTCCAATTACAAGAGTTTCAATAACTTTATTCAATGAATCATGCAGGAGAGAAGTCATTCCCGGAAAAAAAACCACCAACAAGAAAAGCCTATATTTGGTCTTATATAATAAACACTCAAATATATAAAGCAAAGCATATGATTCCTTAATGCTAGTTACTTAAAATCTATAAAATTATACTAATCTTTCTATAAGTAGAATTAAATACCAAATATCCTGAACTCCCCGGAGGGATTATCATTTTGGAGTATGTAATGAGCCTTCTTAGAATTCAGAGGAAGCCGATTTAGCCCTTCCAAGCGTTGCATTTCCTGTTTGATGTTACTGGATTGTTATCATCAATCCAGTTGAAATGATGCATTATCTAGCTAAGATATAGTCACAACATTATACTTCATGCACTAACAAAGTATGCTTACATCATATCATTACAATTCTGGTCCCACCAATCTTAAAGGGAAAGGTTCTAGGTCAAACGGGATCTACTTCAACAGACTGACAAAACAACTCAAGTTGCCAAAAGTACAGACCTTCTTCTTTTTCAAGGGCTTCCTACCATGCCAACAGCCAAAGGAAACTGTTCCTTAAACACTCTCCAGGTTGGAGCTGAATAACTGGGGACATTTATTTATTGAAGAGCTGAGCAAACTGAGAAACAGCTTTAAAGAAAGAGCTACAATAAGGGAGAGAAAGACTGTAGTTTTAAGTTTTATTTTTCAAGGTCTCCTAAATTCCCCTGTTGGGTATCAAAATTTCATGCTATGCTAGTCACAATTTATAAGTATGAAAACTATTTTTACTAGTCCTTGCTAATAACGCCTTCAGTTCCCCTGACATAGCACGAGGCACCAATCAGTCTAACAGTTGTAAAACTCCACAAGCACAAAGCGCATTTAGCATTAAATAGATGAAAACTAATCTGAGATCTTACCTAGGGACTTGCTCTCAAACATTTTCATAATTAGTCACTTGCTATCAAATTTGAATTAAGGGCATCTATATATAGTTTCCTTACTGCCTCACAGCAGACTGTATATGAGAACCGAGGAGCTTTGGAAGAGAGGCCCCATACAGCTGGATATCATGCCTCAGGCAGTTGCTGAAGGCATCAAGACACACTTAAAAAAATAAAAACCACACAATGTTCTCTACTGCTCACTCAGAACTAGGCCTTAGAGGCTATTCAGTTATTTTACAACATTTAAAGGCTGTATATTATCCTAAAACTACCACTTGTGTGGTATCTCTTAATATCCAGATTTATCTTAGGGGGCCTTTCTATTCCAAACAGCAAATACCGTCCTGCAACCAAGCTTGACACATGGTTCCTCAGTAACTGTAGGGGCAGCAGTGAATATAACCTTCAGAAACCGACATTGTCTTGGGCTACAAACTAGTGAAGAGAATGTTTAAATATACTTACATGAAGAAGTGTTTGCTCCTTCGGTTGTTACTGATATTCTAATGGGAGACTCTATAAAACACAAAAGTGGAATGACGCTTTATTGAGTCATGCCTCCTAGATTCTGATGTTAGGAATTGGCCTGGCTTGGGTATCATCTAGAAGAAGAGGACTAGAACACAGTGCAACTGGAAAGCTGAAGCATTTCAAGGTCAAAGAAAAATATACGCAATATTCGAAGACCATAAAGGAGTATTTCTGTAGTCCAGATCGAAAGACTTTTGAAAAAGGAGAAAATGGAGTGGGTCCATCTGCAAAGATATCCCACCCCAAACGCTGTATGCATTTCCTGGAAATGCTCTACACAGATCCACATTCCAGGTAAGATAGACCATTCCTTTTCTGACATGTGTGGTCTTGACCTCTAGAAATGTGAAACCAAGGAAAATAACCCCCATATTTAGTGAGAATGAAAGTCAAGTTTCATGCATAGAAAAAATCAAAAATAAAAGAAAAAGAATGAGGATATTTTCAGGCAACTTGGTCTGCATCAACATCCTGAGCAAACATGGTGCTGGAAAGCCACTAGAAGAATTACATTAGGATTCGAACAAAACATGCTAAACGAGTACATAATACAATTGCGGGAGATGCAGTAGAAAGATTCCCTTAGGTCACAAGGATAAGGGCAGGAGACCGGTATGTGAGTACAGACCTGCATAAAACATAACACGTGCAGCAAGGAAAGCATGGGACCTATGAGTCTTTATTAGTGAAAAATAAGAGCAGCTTAGTATCAAAGAAAGATTGAAATTCGGCATCCAGAGAGTTCTAAAGGTTCAAGTAATATGTCAAAAAATAACAGTTACAGTCTACATTCCCAAGACAAGCACCACATAAATTTAAAAGCTCAAGTTTATAACAACATCTACTAGCATTGGACAATTAAGTCCCTACATTTAAAAAAATCCCTGAATGAAATGTGAAGAAATTCAAATAACTCAACAATTCTTTTCTTTTGATCTTTCTTTCCCTCCTTCCTTTCCTTTCTTCTTCCTTCCACCCCCCCACCTCTCTCTCTCTTCAAAGTAAGGATCATCCCACCCTATAATACAGGTACTTATACCTAAGCAATTACCCATGAGTATGTCCTAAATATGGCCAAAACTAAGATATGGTCTATGATATAGAGAAATTTAGCTGTTATGATTTTAACAGTGGCTTTGAAGGGAAGATTAAAACTGGTGAAGGGAAGATTTTAAAAAAAGATTGTGCTGTGTCAGATTATATGGCCTCCTGTAGGTTCAACAAGGTACAGGCCATTATATATAAAAAAAAAATATATATATATATTCAATGAAGGCAAAACTTTAATTATGGGGTAATAGAAAGAGTACTGAGCATGAAGTACCCACTTTTCTGAGCTTACTGAGCTATATGACTTAACATTCCTAATGGTCATTTGTATCATAAAATTTTTTCTCATTGTATAATGAAGAAAAACAATATCTTATTTCACGAATCTGTTATCATTACTGAATGAGATGCAAAAATCTTTGTAAACTATAAAGTATCAGGAAAAAAGCGAGTTATTATCCCTTGAAGTTAGTTTTAGTTTTGTATCTAGGTCTGCAAAAACTTGCTTCCAAATGAATATGAATCTTTAAACATTTTAAAGTTCTGTTTCCTACAGAATTACAGAGGATTAAAAAAGTAAAAAGAAATCAGAGTAGATTAACTAAATCTCCACACAACTAGTGAAGACATGGATGACTTGTGACGATGTATGAATTAGTACATTTGAGTATCTGCTCAGACTGTAATTGCTCGTGGCAAATACTATCAGTGAAGAACAAACAAAAAACAACAACGATGAAGTCAGTGGTTTGTTTTTCAAGTTCAGTGACCCACACCTGATCATCAGGTGCCCGAAGGTCAGATATCAGATGCTGATCCATCATCCAGGAGTAAACTAGGATGGATGAAAGAGAGCAGAAGCGACTAAGAAGGGCACCTCTAAAGATATAAAACCTGAATTGATAACCAGATGCCTCCTTTACTGCACTAATGTCACTAAATTGTATCTAGACATAGATTTCTTTTCCTCATGCATGCCTCTCAGGCCCAAGTTCAGGCTCCATTAGGGAAAATCCAAAAAGGCAGAATGAGCTGGAGGAAAAAAAAATACTGGGGGCAGAAAACAAGCACAGCTTAAATCTGGATGCAGAAGGGGTTCTGATTAGTAGAAGGAGCAGCCAGCAGTGGTGTCTGTCATTCTGGTTAGTAACACTGGTCGAGCTGATTTGCCTTACCTGAAGACACATATGCCCTTTCAGTTGAGGCTGGCATGCCAGTGACGATCTCTGCAAAAAAGAAAAGGTGATAGGATATTATGATGTATAATCAGGAGGCCGGGAACCAATTCCACAGCCTGCCTTCAACCTAAAACTGAGTAAAAAGGAAGGAAGTATTGCAAGGGAGTGGTGAAAGCAGGGTTTATCCATACAGAGTGAAAAAGGCAAAAAAGAGACCGCCCAGACACGCAGTTCTCCTTTCTTGAGCAAACAGCATGAGATGAATGGCGCCAGATTAGGAAGAATTCACTGCCCCCACTGGGGTCAGGGAAGGACAGTATATGACAAAGACGTCAAGGACTCCTCCTCAGAAAGGAAGGCAGCAACAGCAGAGCTGAGAAAATCAAAGCTGGAGTCAGAATGATTAAATTACAGATCTTCAGAGAATTCCATTTTTGTTCAAAAACAGCAACAGGCAATGTTTCTACTTGGGATTGGTGGAAAACATCAAATTCTGGCACTGACCTCTACACAAAACTGACAACAATAATCAACGTTGGGTGCCTTATTGTATGATAGACACTTCAGCTACCGAGGGCAGGACATAAGGAGGGATCTCCTTCCAGAAGGAAATGAACACTACCGTCGTGAGAATTGTGACAGTCTTGTTCAAACTCTGACTTGCCTTCTTATCACCTTTATGATGAAAGAAAATAATTACACCAACTCATTCTGTTGTTAAGATGCAATTTTTTTTCAGCAAGGTATTGTTTTATAAAGCCTTCATGGCAAGGTATAGATATGCAATGAATATACTCAACGTTCACTGTGTGTATAATTATTGTGACTGATGAACTGAATAGTATTTTACTATCTACTAAGCAGGACAAAACAATAAGTTGAATCTGTTATGATTTATTATATATACATTACTAAAGTTAACAGATTCTACTAAAATCCTAAGCAGGTCAATTACTCTATCAATTACATAGCCTGTTAATCACGGAGTTAGAAATGTTCATGATCAATATAATCATCTTTAAACATAGATATGACCATTTAGGATTTCCATGACAGGACTAGTGTAATAGGTTAGAAAAATTGACCTAAGTGGCAATATTTCTTCGACCTAAGAGGCTTCTCCAGAGATAAAAGGTTTTGTGAAACTGGAAGGAAAAATGGCATGTGAGATTCAGCAGGAAGGCTGATGAGTAAGTGTCAGGTCGAATATGAATATATGAAGATCAGAAATATACCTTAAGTAAGACCAAATGTGTCTTTCTCATACAAATTAAGTACGGATGGTCCTCTCTAATCACACATCAGGAGGACAAACCATTCAAGGTGTGAGGCTATTATCAAGCCACTAAAGTTGCCTACCTAGGTTCTTATACCCACCCCAAATGGGACAAAGCGAAAGAAACCCATGTGTGAGGGTGTATGAAATCCTTTGGACTTTCTCAAGCAGCAGGAATTTCTGAGAATATTCTGAGCTGGTAATATGACAATATCTGTTTCTGAAGTGGCTACAACTAGCTTTCTTGATTTGGGCCGTAGAAAATGAAATTGTTCTTCTTTGGGGAAAATTTAATTTGTGAGAAACATTTTTAGGAAAGATTTATGGCACTGCTCTATCTTTATGAATACCTAGAAAAAGGTCCACATTCCCAAGTAAAGTGCCCACAGGAGAAGCAATGCCTCCCCATCTGTCCTTCAGAACACGTGGATGACTGACAGCCAGTGAGGAAGGGAGCTCAGGGTCACAGGACCTGGGCAAGCATCCCAATCCCAGCGTGAATCAAGACTATTCGCATTTATTTCTGACAAACTAAGTAGTTGGTCACCATGACCTTCTAAGAAAAAAAAATCAGAGCTGTTTCATCTTCTGCATAAAATATCTCATGTTAGAAGAAAGGTTAACCATAACATTTCCTCTTTTAACCAAATGTTACATTAAAATACCAGAACAGGAGGTTACTACAAAGATGTATCTACACAGAGACAACTTAAAATAGCCTCCATTCCTATAATTAGATATTTATCCTGGAGACCTTTAAAAATATCTGTAATGATTATAGTTCTAATAAAAAACCTTCTGAATTATCTTGGTGGAAATATAAGTTCAGAAGTTACATACTTCTATATTCAAAGTCTTGATAATAAGAAAAGTTAATCTTTTTGTTAAAACCACTTAGCAAGCATTTTTGTGTGTGTTTTTGCTAGAGTTCATAGATTTAGAAAACAACCTATTAAGTGCAATTGAAAATAATTTTACCTTAAATTATAGATTTAAAAACTATTAAATCCTGCAATCTCCTTGATGTTAAAGAATTGTATTTTCCTGTAGCAATTTGGAAAGTTAAATTTGTTAATTTATAAAAGACATCCCCTTCATTAGTGCCAAATAATGATGACTTAAAATCTTCAGAAATTGAACACAGCAGATAGCTGAGCACTTCTGCTGAGCAGGCAAGTAAACACAATGAACATTAGTATATTTGTAATGTTTGAATGTTTTTTTAATGAATTGGGTCTGGTCTCCAAAAAAAGTTGCAGTGTCTGAAAATACATCTTCTAGAAAGCACTTTTTCTCATCATTATATATGCAGGACTTGTTTGAGACTTCAGCAAGAGCATAATACAATATACAGCTATTTAGAAAAAATACACGTCATACTATGTACAAACATACATATGATGTTTCTGTGTGCATTTACACATCGGATCATATGACTCTGTTACTCTAAAATTGCAGGCCATTGTGTATACAAAGCATTTAATTAAGTATCTTTTTTAAAGATTTAAGATGGGCACACTTATTTATCTGTACTGCTAAAGATGACTTCAGGAACATCTTTGAGTGTCTGAATTCTTGCTCGTAATGAGTGTTTACCTTAAAGCAGTTGGGGAATTTTAGAATTAATAAATGGTGTAGGGACAGGATAGATACTATGCACTAAAAAGACAACTCTAACCCGTGTGCCTCAGTGGATTGAGTGCCAGCCTGCGAACCAAAGGGTCACGGGTTCGATTTCCAGTCAGGGCACATGCCTAGGTTGCAGGCCAGGTATCCAGTGGGGGGTGTGGGAGAGGCAACCACATATTGATGTATCTCTCTTTCTCTCTCTCTCTCTCTCTCTCTCTCTCCCTCCCGTCTCCTCTGTCTAAAAACAAATAAAAGCTTTTTTAAAAAAGACAATTCTATTCCACTAATACTAGCCTTCTTGGGGCTCCCACACAATGGCCCCATACATGGAGTCTACTACACAAATTACTGAGCAGATTTCATATGCTTCTCTGTGTAACTCTAGGCTGCGCATCAACACCGTAACACGTGCAACACTGTCACCTGGGAGAAAGAATAAGGATAAGCCTGTTATCCACACGAGACCGTTTTTTTAAAGGACCAATTGATATATTAATCAAATTTCAAAAAATAATATTTTTCTGCACATCACAACCAAACAGCTATTTTTATGGCTATGAATCCAATTGCTCTTATGGGATCTTAAATCTCACTCACATGATTTTCCGCCCAATTAAATAAAAAAAAAGAAAATCTAGTAGAAGATATGACTGATTCATTGTATTTTCTCCTGCATGTATCTTTCAAAAGGCAGCAGTATGTAATTAATTTGAAAACCAGCTAGGTCTACTATTCTCCTCCCTTGTCCAGTGCCCAGGAGTTTTCGTGGAGCTGCTTAGATGAGAATTGATTGCTAAATTAAGGTTTCCTACACAGAAACCAGCCAAATAAAAATGAACATACAGTGTACGGGCTTTGGAAGCATAGCGTCTGTGGCCTTTTAAACCGCCGTATTTGAATTCATAAAAGGGATCACTGGTATCCACCATGTAATGAGGACTCCCTTCGTGGGACCCTTCTGTATATGAAAACTCAACTGGACTTTGTTAGGTGTACATAATCCCAGAAGCAATTAGCAGCCTGCACAGATTTAGATCTGTCTACCTCAGGACAAATTCTTTTTTCCACATAAGGTAGGGATTAAAAGGCACTGGAAAGGCAGAAAACATAAATTTCTAAAAACAGCTTAACAAGCTGATGGGCTATGCGTATATTATTTTCTAAATGACTGAAAATAATGGAAATATAGTCATTGTTTCCCTCAAGCATAAAATGATCGAAGGGGAATTTCATGTTTTTTTTAAATCCTTTCATTTATATCTTGTTGCTAATCGAAGTAGATTTAAATAATGAGTTGCATGGCAGAAAGTTCTGAATATTGAAAAGGAGACTTTTATGATATGCTAATTTTATTCTAATAGTTATAGAGCTGTCTTAAAGGGATTAAATATAGTGTCACACAGCAAGGTCACCTTGCTACATTTTTTCCACTCTTTTCTGGGAAGAAAATATTCTCCCTTACATGTCTTCTCGTGACCCCTGCCATCCCTCCTAGAATCTTATACAAAAATATATTCTAAAGATATTATCTCAAAGAAAGCATCTGTATGAGAATTTAAGAAAATCACAAGGAGCCCTGGCTGGTGTAGCTCAGTGGATTGAGCACTGGCCTGTGAAGCAAAGGGTCACCGGTTTGATTCCCAGTCAGGGTACATGCCTGGGTTGCAGGCCAGGTCCCCAGTAGGGGACACATGAGAGGCAACCACACACTGATGTTTCTCTCCCACTCTTTTTCCTTCCCTTCCCCTCTCTCTAAAAAATAAATAAATAAAATATTTTTTAAAAAAAGAAAAGAAAATCCCAAGGAATCTTTTGCATAGGATGGAATTAGGGTAGTTAGTTCCAGCAACATACCAGGATCTTTCATCAAGGCTACCTATAAAGAAATTCTCAAACCAGAGTTTTGTAGTTACTAGAAAAATATGGGAGAGGTGCCTAAGACAACATAAGACAAACAAAATTACCGATATTTTATAGAAACATAAATTAAAATCTCGAGAGAGTTCTATATAATATTTGGATAACATTCATACCTCTAAACCTTTTTTTGTAGCACCCCCAGAGGAAAAAAATTCTTGAGAATTCCACTCTCTCAGCCCAAGTCAGCAGTAAATACACGTTAGGAAGACACAGGCGAGCCATGTGGCAGTTTATCACCACGGTCAAGTCTCCTTTTTCTCTCCGAGAGACTGTTTCCTACGACCTTTGCCCAGATTTCCAGGGATAGGGGATGTAACAGCACGAAGTAGCGCCTCCGAGTCCCACAGCGCTCAGACCCAAGCTGCCTTCTATGATAATCAGCCTGGATCTGGGTGTGGCCAATTCATGGACGGCAGTGGAAGGGGGGGAAGGACCAGAATGTTACGTTTTCCTTTCGGTCACACTATAACCAAGCCCCCCGTGTTGCAGTGAGAAGAGTCACAGCACACGCAGTGCGCTGGCCTTCTCGGTCACGGCGCCTGCCATGCGTGGGCTCCAACGCGCTGCACTGCCCACCCAGTGCCTCCGAGGACAGGGGTGTTTCCAGGCAGGCTGGTTTCTGGCTTCCTTCTCCTGGGCGGGGCCCATGGGGGCACCCGATGAGAAGGCAGATGATTTGTAAGCTCTCTAGGTCTTCCCATGTGGTCTGGTACAGTAAGTTCCACCAATCAAATTCCTGCTAGGGGAACTTGACTTGGGAACTAAGGCAACAATCGCAGAGGAGTTAAAACCCACAGAATGATTTAAAAAGAGCCATGAAGAAGAAGATGGCCTAGCGGGGTAATATCCAGTCAAAGTGTGGGATTGTGAAGAAGCACAGTTGAAAGCCTGGGAGGTGAGAAGATACAAGAAACAGCAGAAGAGTCCAGAAGGATATGAGGCACATGAAAGGCAGCAACAGAGAAGAGCCATAGCCTCTCCTTGTTTACATTCTTAGACACGCCCCAGGTTCAGTTCCATCTCCATGAGGCCCCGTTCTAATGAACGTGTACTTCTTCCCCATGGAATCTCTTTCTTTTTATGTCTCACACCATCCCTTCCATTTTTGTCTTTTACACACCAAAGAATCAACCCAAAACATTGGCAAATTCACCATCAGGTATAGAGTGAGCTACAGTGGACCAGGAATTAAAGGAATCTGGGTTCATGTCCCCATTCCCTACCAAATGTCTTCTGATGCTGAATGTGTCTGTTTAAGACACAGTCTAAGTCTCCATTTCTTCTTAAATACAATGAGAGGGTTGGATAAGGGTGAATTCGTTCTAATGTTCTAAGAAGAAAATAAAGACAAGACCCCTTCACATTGTAACTGAGATCCTTCATTCTCCCTCAGAAGCTTTAACTGGTCCAATAAAAGCCCACTCCCTGAAGAATTTTACGTGGTTGTTCAAGAATGGCCTTCTTACAATGTTCCATGAAGTTTTCTTTGTTCTTTTCAGGTATTTATTATTTATTACCAAAACCTTCCCCACTTTCATTTCTCTACACTATATAGTTGGTCAATAATAAGTATACAATATTGAAATCAATTCTTGAATGAATATGCAAAAATGATGTTTCTTCTATGAGAGAAAGGTAAAAGGCTGTATTTTCCAACTTTTGGGATCCCCATTAATGGAGAAGGAAGCCTATGAGTTTTCCCCAGAAATCCTATTGTGTTAAATAATTCACTGCTTAATCCAGTAAAAGAGAAAACATGGAATAATTAACATAGTGCCACTGAAAGCGCTCAGTGAGACCATGACACTTATTCTACTTGTATTTTCCTGGGACTTTATGGTATGCATAGCTTCACAAACCCACTCCAAGTGTCAAGATCATGATTCAATAACATTTACCACAAGGAGACACATTGAACAAGCAGGGTGGGGACAAACTGAGAGCAAGCTATTAAACACGGTTTAATAGGAAAAATAAGCTGCTAATGTTAATTTATAAATTTGTGCTTCAAGTAGCATCCTATAAAATTCTACATGGGTGAAAAACGGTGGCGAAAATCTGTTACTTTTAACCTGTGCTAAGAAGTAAAGCGATGTTATATTTACTCACATAAATTTTAAATGGCTTTGACATTTCTAAACTGTGAACACAGCTTCTAAAGCAGTGGAAACTACTTTCCACTGTTGTTCTTCGCTCTCTGTGGAGGGAAGTATTTAAAATGAAAGTAATGAACTATGATTAGACTGTAATAGAGCAGTTTGTTGGGAAATCTTGAGAAGACTAGGAATTAACCTAGATTTTCCCAGCCCTTCCATATTTTTCCAATATTTTAATTATGTTTTCTTATAAATATTTTTACTAATATTTGAATACAGTTGTCTCCATTTTCCCACCACCACTTCAATCCCACCCTCCCCCATCTCCCACCCTCAATCCCACCCCCTTTTGGCTTTGTCCGTGGGTCCTTTATACATGTTCATGGACGACCCTTCCCCTTCCATATTTTTATCTCACTCCTTTCTATCCATCCTGTTAAGTCAACTGCCACAAACTACATAGATCAGTCTCCTATTGGAGTTGTCTCGTAAAGTGATTTTTACTCTTGCGTTGCGGGACTAGCATTTTGACATTATCACCTTATGAGATCAGGACTTTGCAGGGGACACACTTTGTCATCTATCTACTACCCAGTAGCAGCACGACGGGCTTGGTTTGATCACAGATGACAGCGCTGGTGAAGGCAGCAATGGAGTGCCATTTTCACAAAGGAAAAGCAGCACCTATTATTTCAAGAGGTTTAGACGCTCACTGCCAGCACACTGCCAGCCTCTGTGGATGACTCCATCCAGTGAAGGAGCGTCGGGGTGTCCAGGACAGACAGCCACCAGCAGTGGGTCTTTCACTTTCCTCAGATAATGCGGAGACGTTGTCAGAGAGTAGGTGGCAATGGGTACCCCCAAGTCACTTGTTGAGCAAATGTCGCCGGGCACTGTTCTCCAGGAAGCAGAAGCTCAAGACTATACTCAGTAAAGAAAGGCTTTGCCTAGACTCTCCTAATTTCAGAATTAATAGGCCTAAAAAGAAAAAACTAACAGGTTTAACTTTTCACTACCCTGAATCAGATGTACTACAAATACATCTAAGCACATAAGAACTGCCAAGACTAAGTGAAGATTGTATTGTTCACACATACAAGGTACATGCATTTATACATAATATATGTATGTAAATATAGTATACATAAATTCTGTATATACATATGCATTCTGTAATAAGTACACACACATACATACATATTCTGTTGCTGATAGAGCCAAAGACTTGACTGCCCTCCCCAACTAATTTAATGGGAGGTACAAATCCTTCCTTGGAGTGGCCAGTCCTATCCTCTGTCATTCACGGCTTTATCAAATCCTGTAAAAAAAATCTGTGCATATTTCAGGTCTATATAAGCTCAAGGAGTAGAGCTTTCTGAAGATCATACAAGATACTTAAAGTATATGATTTTATTTCTTCACAATGCAACTTAACACAGCAGTTTATTACAAGTCTTACCACGTATCTCGATTACTCCTCCGACGGACCGAGAAACAGGATGTAAGAGGGCATCTCTTACCGTTTGAATCCACGATGGTGATATTGGCGGAGGCACTGTCATTTCCCAACTTGCTGATCACCTGGCACATATATTCTCCAGAATCAGCCAGTGATGCTTTGTTAATGCGAAGTTCTGACTTCCTGTAAGATCAGAACCAAAGTGGCATAAGTGTATTTCGCAGAAATACAATGATCATCAAAATATATTTCTCTGCAGTTTCAGAGTCCTCAGACTCCCCTTTCCCACTATGCGCACCATTTTAAACACAGCTTCCCAGTACAGAGATGTATTCTACCAAGAGTAAAAGTGAGACACGTCGCATTGAAGTTAAACCATGGGAATAATCTTCATTTTATCACCCAGATCAGGAATTTAAAAGAAATTTAATTTTTCATTCCTTTACCACCACCATTATGCCTCAGATTTCTTTCTCAACTCAACTGGTAAACTTTCTTTTCTCTCTATTTCTAAACGACACCTGCCATTTTGGAAAGAAAAAAAATATAAAATCATTTCTTCCAAACCCGGTGAGGGCAGACACGTAAGGCCAGAATAGATTACAATGCTCTGCACCCCTTTACTTAGTAGAGTAATATCAGGAACTATGTTAATTATGAATGAAAAGGATTTAATCGCTTCCAGAAGAAAGGAAATCTGTCTTTTTCTTTAAGACTCTCATTGCTAGAAGCATAGTACCTTACAGACTGTTCTTAGTGATGGAATAAATACTCATGCAACAAGAGCACACACTTTTATAAAACTCTGCACAATGAATCAATACCCGGACCCTCTGTGAACATGGGCAGCATTGTGATTGCATTTGTCTCTGGTCTACTGTTGCACATTGCCTATCATTTACACAGTCTGCATGATTTAAAACCCCAGAAATACTGGGATTGGCTCGGCATTTACTAAAACCTTTTATTCTATTTTTTTCTGTAGCTATTTTTAGTAGGATGAAGTTACTGTTACAACATAAAGCCTTTTAAAGCTTCCTTGTGTACTCAAGCCTGGTCCCAACCACCTGGGATCCTGAGAGGAGAACAACAGCAAGAAAAGAACAGGGAGCAAAGACAGAGACTCAGAATTATATGCAAACTTCCCACAAATTACACCTTCCTAGTTTTTTAATGAATGTTCTGCTCATCTGCCATATAATAGTATTAATTAAATTAGAATGATTATTCCAAATGTAATTCCTACTATTCTCCTCCATTCTGTCAAACTGAACCACCCACCCCGTCCCGCCTTGTGATCCTCCATCTGGGTGCTCTGCCCTCGACTGAGGACCTCCTGATCCTATCAAGATATTAGCTGACATGATGGCAGGAAAACCATCTCAAGTGTCAATTTCTTCATAATACTTCCACAATCATGTAGCCGGTGCTGCTCTCTCCTTGGCCTAAATTCCGACGGCTTTGCGTACCTCTCTCATGACCCTGTGGTGCCTGTGGTGTGTCCTATCTATCAAGTAGGGACACGCACACTTTAAAGGGGGAGTCCATAATTTAAACTTCTCGGTAGCCCCAGTGCACCATCTCAATATCACTGCTTTTTCCTTGGTGCATCTTCAAACATTATTAGAAATACGTGTGAATACATGAAGAAAATATCTGGATGTCCCCACTTAAGCTCTGGGCCAGACACACTGTTCCTCCCATTGGCTGTAGGAAAGGAGCGCAGCGCAGGAAGAGGGCGGAGACAGAAGGAGGTAGTCCAGGGCATGGGCAGCAAGAGCCAAGCCAGCATGTGGGCTGAAAACTGACTTCCCTTGAGCTGTGACTCAGAACAACGCCAACAAATAAACTTGAGAAAACAGAACTAAACCATAAAAGTGTAGTTTGCTCAAATAAGTTTACAAGACATCAGGTTAAACAAAGGCGGGCTTCTATTTTTGTTTTCGTTTTTAAATCCTACGTGATTTCTCAAGGACTTTAATATGCAAATGGATGTTTACTCTCCAAGAGTGAAATATATTATTTAGTTTCTCTCAGACTTGTTTGACCATGGAGTCCCTGTCATTCACACAGCTTATCCATTAATGTTTTCTGAAAATAATGGTCTATAGAACAAAGTTGATAAGAAGCCAGTTTGATTTAACGAGGACCTTGTTTATCTATGTAAAAGGAGAAGACATCGGGGCCATCTAAACAGGGATATTCACATAGTAATCAGAGAGGTTATTCAGGGAAAAATTTCGCTGAAGTATATCCTTATAAATCAGAATAGATCATTTTGATGGCAAGCACCTTGGCAAGTAGATATTAATATTTAATAATAAATATTTAATAATAAATGTAACAGCTCTTAAAATGATCAAAATAAACAATATTAGGATATTTACTCCCTGTCAAGTTCTGTAAGATTTAAGCCTGGTGTGGGGAATTCAAATCTAGTGCTTTTAAAATATATTATCAGCTATTTGTACTTTGTTCATACATGACAAGTTTTCCTCATGACACCTATGAAGGAAAATGAGAAACAATGTAACAAATGCTACAAAAAGCTTGCCTATTCCAAAGTAGCATACTTAGCTGAAAGAATTTTCATTTACAACTATGGAAGCACTAACAATAACTGACAGATAAATTACAAAGAATGTGAGAATTGGAATATCCTGGTTTTCAACACAGAATAAAAAGTGAATTCCTAAAATAAGATAACAGCATTTTTTTTGGTTAAAACCCAAAACTCTGAAGTGAGATAATTAAACCAACATTCTAAGAATGTACAACACCCCAAAATTATTGCAATTCCAAGAATACTCCTTCTAATTCTTATCTATCTAAATCTAGGAAGAGTCTTTTATGATATGGAAAGATGCTTTCTTGACCCTGTGCCATTATTATTTTAACTACTGACCTGAGTCAAACAATAAGAATCATGGGAATCAAACTTACAGAACATAATCTTGAAGGGATGCTTCTTAAAATCATTCTCCCAATAGACATGAGCACTATTTTCTGGAATACTATTCCAAGTAATATAAATAAATGTTAGGCTTTAAAAAGAGAGAAAGAACATGAAAAAAAAAGAGAAAATTTTTCTATGCTCAGTTAAACATTGCATTAAACAAAATTAAATATATTTCTTTACAGCAGTCCCTCGTAGTTGTCTCTATACAAATATGTGCTATTAATTTTTAAGGCAGGCATGACGTGTACAAAAATATCCTTTTTTTTTGCAATCACCCTTGGGGATTCTCCCACTGAACATCAATGGGCCAAGACTAAGATTCAATTCAATCACCGTAAGCCTAACACATACATTCAGGTTCAAAAACTGGTAGCAGAAATACAGGTTAAAAGAGACGTGCCTTAACAACAATACATACAGAGAAAAGGAAATTAGTCATGTGTTTAACATTACTCCATTTTAAACAAGTAATAAAAGAAAAAAAGAAAAAGAGAGAAAGCACTGCTTGGTCCAATCAATATAAAAACAACATAAATCAAATTGGATAAAAGTCTCGATACACTGCTCACAGGCTGGGCCTCATCTAGCATATTGAGTTATGTTTTGACGTGGCATTTGAAGAAAAATATCAATATCTAGAGGGTTTTAGAAGAGGGTGGTCGGGACTGAATAGGGCACGGAGAAGATTCTGTTAAAGAAACACAGGTCCCACTGGCAGGCAGTTACGAACAAGATAGTGGCGGCTCCTTTAAGACACTTCGTGCCTGTCGTCTAGAAAAGGAAATTATTTGGAGAAGTTCTTGAAGGAGAATTGCATCTTAGAGGAAAAAGAAGTCATATTTTAAGTAAATGGGGAGCTTGTGAAAGAGTTCGGTTTTCTTCTTCGGAAAGACCGAAATCTGGATAAGCACCTGTCAGGCATGCTCTGAACAAGAATCCCTCTATGCAGAGAAAGATTAAATCAGATGAGTAGTTTTGACCACTTCTGAAAAAAATGTCATATTTTAGAATGAAAGCTTAAATCAGAGCCTCGTATTTAAAACTGCATTAAAGAGAAAAAGTGTTCAGGCCAAGGTGGTTGGCAACCGTTCTTTCCACCCAAGGGAAACTTAAGATTCTCCACTGAACCACGGGAAAAATTACCGATCTAGGTGCTCATTTGAATGTTCATTGTATATGTAACTATGAGATTCTTTGATCCTTGTGTCTTAAGAGAAGGAATGGGAAGCACTATAGCAAGAAAGCAGAAATAGACTGACCTCTCTTGAAAATCATGCATTGCAACAATTTGGGGCTTTGATAAGAACAGATACAAAGGTTCTGCTTTACTCTCCACAGGCCCCCCGTACACAGTCTGTAGGAAGGATGTTAACTTGTACAAAATTAGTGAAATTCCCTTCCAATCATAAAATTAACTTTTTGCTTTTTAATTGATGAGTTATCTGGGAATCTGGGAGGGCTTGGTGTTTTGGTGGGTTTTTGTTTTCTTGAAGTATTAAAGAGTTAGTTTATGTAACCTGTTTAAAACAATGCTTGAAATATGGTAAGCTCCTTATTTTTAATTTCTGTTTTTTTACCATTTTTAAGTTAGTTTTTATTCTTGTTCAAGTATAGTTGTGTTCAAAAATGTGGTAAGCTCCTGATAAATGTTAGCTGTTATCATAATTACATTCTACATTCCTGCAATGTTTAGATTTTTTACAATAAGCATATACTACATCCTTGAGATCAGAAAATATAATACAACATAAAAATAAATTAATACAAACTGATTTGTAAATAAGTTCTAAATATTAATCTCCTTTTCTTCTTTTGTATGGAAATGCAAATGATGTTCCTTCAATTAGTGCTCACTAACAAGATGGGTTCACGGTTCCAATATTTACTATCTCATTTTTCTTATTTAACTAGATTTTTCCACTCTAGTTTCCATGCCAAGACAACTTAACTGTGTAGAGGGGTCAGTTTATACAATCCATTGTTATTGCTCTGATCTCTAAAGAATCATATATGAGCTTTGTGTGTGCACATGTATGTGTGTGCGTGTCGACACAGCTTCAGATAGTGTAGAACTGCCAGTAATTATTACACTACATAGAACTCAGCACTGCACCAAATGCCTCACGTAAACCATACGAAATAGGCACTTGCTATCCCCATTTTATGTGAAAGAATTTGAGATTTTCTTACATATAAAGTTAAAATGGCCTCTCAGAGCTGCTAAGCAAAAGAGAAGGGATTATGTATTAACTTTTTCTGTTACAGAGAAAAAAGCCCGCGACAATTACCAACAGGAGAAATAAACATTTTTAAATGTTAAATTTGATCAAATGAGTAGAGCCAATTTTAAGCAAATTTCAAAATGTAAGGGCAGAAATGAAGAGCTGGGACAAAATTAAGGGCACCCAAAAGTGTGCACCACACACAGGCAATAGGAAATCAGCCCTTGATGCGGCTAACAGAGAGCAGATATTTAAATGAGGCCTATCTGACAGCCCCCAATCCCAATCTCCACACACTTATCTTTTTAACCAGTTTCTTCATCAAAATCATGCACCAGGCGAAGGAAGCAGGAACAAAGGAACAAGCAGACACATACCACTGGGGCAGTTCCCATTTCTTTTAATTGGTCCCACACTTTGCTTGGCCAAATAAAACAAACAGAGACTCGGATCTGAGCTCAAAATCATAGGAAGAACATGTAGGAATGCAGTTTATTAGAAGGAGCAGGGGCAGAAGGGAGATAAGACTTTATATTACAAAATAATAAAAGCTGCATATTGGTTTGAAAGCTTTTCATAACACTAAGGGATTAAAAGGAAATTTTGGCTGCTAGGAACAATCTAGATTATAAAACATGAAAAAGAAACCTTAGACTAAGGACTGGAAAAGAGTCAATGTTTAACTTAAATAAAGAGAATGCCAGAGAAACCCTAAACCTCACACTAAAATTCACCTCTGCTGGGTGATCACCATCTAAAGGTAAAGTTCATTGCTTCTTGGCCTTTTTGCTAAGGTTGAGTATAGGAAGATGAAGCTTAAGTCAAGCAACCAAGTAAGTAACCACTGCAGACCATTAATGTTTGAAGATCTTGGTATTAAAAAAATTATACATATGCAGATAAAACTGAAAAATAAAAATGTTTTTCTTTAAGGCTCCACTCTAGACAGGTTCCTAGCCCTGTGGTGTGACTTTATTATAGACAGCAAAATCACAAGTATTTGTTAAAGGACATCTGACAGGGAGTCAGCCCAATTTCACACCTAAGTTTTATCATTCATCAACAAGAGATGTCCGAGGAGAAACGCCCTTCATCCTCAGGATCTTAATTTTAAGTGGGTGTAATATTAACAATAGTCATCTTCTTACATAAAGACACCTTGAAATAACAGCACCTTGGACGTGTTCATTAAAGTTAGATTGTTTGTTCCCTAAACTTAAGAAAAAGGGATGAGTCTAATTTTTTAAAAAGATAAAGGTTCAGAAATAAATGATTGCCCAGTTCTGAAATCTGATAAGCTGACTGCTTATCAAACAGCTGCCCACTTTACACAAGATATCTTATTTTTAGATCAAACATGTCAAGTGTTCTTCCCAGAGTAATATATAGTTATTTTTATCTTGAATAAAATGTCTTTTTTTCCACGTAAATCTTTCCAGCACAGCTATTGTTTAAAAGAAGCAATTTCTGAACATTGGCCTATCTGGTATAGTGGGATTTTATTAATATGTAGCCAGTGCTCTTAGCTGTCTGGACCTATGGAGCCAATATGAGCATGCTTCTTGGAATACTAATGACACTTTCATATGTCATCCAAGCCATGTAGCAAATGGCCTCTTCAATGAAGAAAAAAAAGAAAGTACTCTTTCATAACTGTCTGTATTCTAAGCAGCTCACTTTTTTTTTGTTCCTTATTTTCACATTATCTACCCAACTTCATTTACCTCTCTCTGGGCCTCCCCATACTGATACTCCCAGTCTGCAGATACTTTGTTCTATTCCTACAGCCTGGATAAACCTCTCCTCCCTCCCTGCCCCCTCCTCTTCTAGAATTTCCAGGAAGCCACCACTGTCCCTGACTGGGGCCCCTCCCTCTTCTGCATTAGCCTCTTTCTACAGCATCTCACCATTTTTAGCATCGTGCTACTTAAAACCCACTACTGCAACTGTTTACATTTCTCTCCCCTCTAGACCAAGCCTCTTAATGGAGAGCAGGTCTTGCTCACCTCTGCGTACCCAGCATCTAGCCCAGGGTCTGAGACACAGCAATTTGTCTGATAAAGGGTAAAATTCCCATCTACTCACCCACTGCTCCAATCGGCCTGGCCTCCAAACAGGGCCTGCTCTTGACGGTGATTCCTGCTCTTCTCTGGAACTGCCCACCCCCCTTGCCTACTCCCTTCACCCACCCCTCCAGGGAGGCTCTCTCCCTGCAGCAGAGTCAAATCTGCCCTCTCCCGGCTACTATTGAAGCTCTCAGGGCATCCCCTGCTTCTCAGCGCCCCCGGTACTTCATGTGAATGACCTACAACTAACGTAGCACTTAGTTTTATTGTCTAATAGGATGTGCTAGACATTTCATGTCCCTGATTCAATCCTGACTTACGATAGAGTAGAACTGACCTTAATATAACTCATCATTTTCGAAAAGATCACTATTTGTTAAATTGATGGGCTGCTTAACAATCCTGAAGCTCCCCAGGCCAACCGTGTTTTATCACAGTATCAGTGGGACTCCTGTGTTTCACAGAAGTCTGGACTAGGTAATCTCTATACAGTGTGATGACCCCCAGGTGTAAAGATATCAACCTACGGTGCCTCCATGTCTCCACGGTTCCAGCAGAAACCCTTTCACCGGCACTCAACCGTCCTCAGTATCATCTGACAGATACGCAGAAATGAAAGGGGCATTACTCTGCCCGTGAAGATAACTTAATTTTCTACTAACTTGTCATTTGATGAAAAACAAAATGAATAACAAAATCTACCTAAAAGTATTTTTTAACTTCTCCATAAATATCATACTTATTTTTTCCATTTATTCTCTCTTCCCTTCCCCACACGCACATGCTAGTAAACACCGTGCATGCTCTTCCAAAGAGGGAAGGAAACATGAAGAAATTAAAGAAACAGATTTGTATTTCAGCTCAGTCTTACTGGTTGTGTGATACAAGGCAAGGTGTAAAGCTTTTTAACCCTAGATTTCTTAGTCTGCAAGATTAGATACCATGCCCTATAGGGTTCAACTGCCCTTACTACCTATGGAAATGTCATAATAAAAATATTATACATCATAACACCATGACACTTTAAATATTTTTTGTAATCTCTGAAGTACCGCCTCACTGTAGAGAGTGATACCCATTCTTCTCTCCACACTTTATTATACTTCCGAATAATTCTTGTTATTGATTGTGTCTTGCTACTTACACAATCAGTAACAAGAATGAACAATATAGTTAATAAAACCATGGAAACCAGGGAGGGAAATCCCTAACTATAGTTATTATAGTAATTAAACCTTTTGGCAAAATGAACCAAAATTTCCATGATAACCACCCTGCTTTCTCTTGCTCATGAGCACATGACAACCTTTTGGTTGCTGTCCTATGAAATCAAAGTACAGGGGAGAGATTCTTTTGTTGTTGCTTCTCTCACATCCCTGGGAATTCCTGGAATCCTCCAACGTGTGAGTAATCTTTGAGCTCGGAACCACCATTATACATGTCTCAGCGACTAAAGGATGTTTCTACGCAAAAACCCCAAATACTCTTCACTAATTTCAAAATGTAGTTTGATATTGGAAGGGAAATTTCTGAAATAATGAAATATTTACGAAGAGTGTAGGGATAAAAAAAGGAACATTATTTCAGAGTGTGTACAAATCACACCTACCAAGATGCTGTGGGAATCACATGAACCCTTTCCAAATATGGAGCCCTCAGGGAGGACACGAAAACTTCATATTCTTGCCACCCAGGATTCCCTGCTTTGTAAATCTGCTATAGCAGTGATGTAGTATAATACACTTGTCAGTTAAAGTTTCTTATTACGTATCATTTTAGGTATCCTTTTCTTACCTGAAAATAGTTCATATTCAACTAGTTCATTCTAACTATTCCTGTAAATCTAAGTAACTTATCGAGCTATTGATAAATAATAAAATTGGGATTTTGTTTGCATAACACCTTGGTGCTCTAAGCAGCATTTGTCTTATTCTGAAATTGAACTTGGGGTTCTAACCCATTACTATTACAGCAGCTACCATTAACCCCACCTTCTGTGGTGCTTTCTACCCACCACCACCCTGCGGTTTTTCCACATCCATCCTTTCTTATCCTTGTCCAGAAGTTTTAAGAATCAGAAGCTTCAAAATCCTTCCTGTATAATGACCCACTTTCTGGTCATTATACCATGAAATCTTTCCATTTATTGTATAGCACGTTTTTTGACAAGTTTGTGTTTGTTTATGGAGCTGTATCTGCCTCTGCTGTTACATGCGGTAACTTACCCTGGCCTTTTTTGTATCTTGATGTTCTGTGGTTTGTTCTTTCGGTTTAATTCACTCCCATTCTTGAACCACTTGAATCTGAGAGAGGAATATTCAGAAATGGTCTCGCACCGAAGCACTAGCTTGGAGCCTGCCGCGGACTCCTGGCTTCTCATCTCTTTCAATCGAAGAGGCAAGGCTGGAAAGAGAAAGGAAAAAAGTTTTGATAACCTGGTAATCTGTTGAAGAGAAATATCTATTTTGGGTGAGTCTGATCAAGGCACCATTCCCAAAGATTTTATCACCTGATAAAAAGATAGAAATGGGGGTAGGGGGGTCGCCAGCCAAAATGTATCTCAACTTAAAGATTAAAATGCCAAAACAAAATACACTTCGGAGAGTGGGTAAAAAGAGAGCCTAGATTGCAGAATTCTTTACTAATATTCTAGGTACTTATTTCCTCAGTCTTTACATTCTCTGGTACCATTAAAAACCTGAACAGTGGTTATTCCCACAACCAAAATCTGTGCAAAAGGAGAATACGTAAGTGGGAACATGTGCATCCCAGACCACAACTGGCCTGCATCGCAGTCCTGTGAACTGGTACCACAGGCGTTGCATCTGTGTTTTAAGTGGAGAAGTGTAATTTCAGAGAGAGGTAAGTAACTGACTTCTCCACGGTCCCAACTTTCTGGAGAGTCAGGTTAGATGATCCTATCATTAAGGGGAAGAACAAATAGAACTCATCAATCTGAAGAACCCCCCCTCTCCCCCAGACAGTAATTCTTCAGTGACATCACTCTTTAATTGGACCTACAGTTGCTGTCCCATGCGACACTGTATGACTATTCCAGATGACCACTACGCTCATGCCAAATGACCAATTTGGCTGGATTTAGCCCTTCTAAATCTTCTCCAAAGAGACCGGGAGTGCTCAAATTATGCATTAATTTGTAGAATACTTTCCTCTGAACACCTATATACCATTCGTATTTTAAGCAAGACTGCTTTAAAAAGCCTCTTTTCTCTACTGAAACAGTATTGGGCAAACTGTTATAGTATCTGAGATCTGCTTCAAAATAAAATGGTGGTAGGGAATGAATAGGCCTAAAAATGAAACAAATTTCCCAAGAAGCTGACCACTGTGGAAGCAAAGAAGCAGGTACATGTGGTGGTTTGCTATACAATTCTAGACAGCATTCCAACTTGTTCCTAATAAAACAGTTTAACAATAAAAGAATAATGAATGGTCGGTCTTCCCTCTGCACACAATATTTCATTTAATAATCACCATCACAGAAATTGAGTTCTCAGTAACTCTGTGTCCACTGAGTCTTAGAAAAGCCAACTACAAATCCACTTCGGCTCAAGTTCAGGAATCAACAGCAAGTCCCGAAAAACCAAAACGCAGACAAATGAGACTGCAGCTCCCTGACGCAGCGCCCAATCACTCACTGGGTACAGGACCGAGACTCCAAGGACTGCAATCAGAGCCACTCTGGACACGAACAGGAAACGGGGGGTGTTCCTACGCAGGGTACGCTTGTTCTTCTACAACTCTGCGCTCACCGAGTAAATCAGAAAAGACATCAGGAATGAGCATACAGAGGTTCCGATAAATTAGAGCGAAAACCATCTGAACGTTGTGATTTGTCGTCAGTGCTCCTACAATGACGCGCTCCCCTTTTATTTATTCGGAGGCTGGGAGATGTGGAGAAGCAGGCATTGCGTGTGGAGACCCGGCGGCAAGTTAGAAAAGGTATCTCAGCTGTTCTCAGCCTTTGATACCTGACGGTTTTGTCGGACAGCTTGGAAATAAGATTTACTTCCTGAACAGATTTCACAAGAGTCTTCGTTTCAAGATGCGGTTCATGAATCTCTGTCGTGGAGGTTTTTAAAAACAAACTAAATTCGCATCCATCTGGAATAATGTCTGTCCATTCCTATAAACTCTTTAAGATACTTTTCCATTTTTTAAGCCTGGTGAAGGGTTTTAAAGAAATAAATTTAGGGGAACTAAATGGCACCAAGTAAACCGGCTTACATATATTAAGAAAAAGAAATGTCCTTTGTTATGTATTCGTGGGTAAAAGAACTAGCTTAATTGGGGGGGAGGTTGCTTTTGTGGCTTTTTAACTGGCACACAAGAGCAAACCTCTCAAGGTGTATTCCTTTGCCAATCCATACATACATGTACTTATCAATATAGTCTAAACAAACATTGACTAGGCCGGTTTCCTTACTTCGAATAAATAATTTTCATGCCATTTGCATCTCTTTTTCCTTTCTTTTGCTCACCCCCCACCCCCACCCTCCTCTCTTCATTTATTTTTTAAAATAGTTATTTATTTATCTTTAGAGGAGAAGGAGAGAGGGAGAGAAACATCAATGTATGGTTGCCTCTAGTGCGTCCCCTGCTGGGAACTGGCTTGCAGGGAACTAGCTTGCAACCCAGGCATGTGCCCTGACTGGGAATGGAACCGGAATCCTCTGGTTCGCAGACCTGCGCTCAATCCACTGAGCTACACCAGCCAGGGCCATTAATTTTATTATTAAGGGTCTTGATTTCGGCCATGAGGAAACAGTTGGACAAATTCAAATTGACGCATATTCTACAAAACTACTGGTCTGGGCTTTCAAAACGTCAATGTCCTAAAACAGAAGGAGACTGTGAAACTCATCCAGTTTCGAGGGAATTAAAGGGGCATGACCAATAAACGGATCTTGCTTTATGGAAAAACAAAAGTAGATATGGACAATATTGGGACCACTGGGAAAATACGAATATAGCTATTGTATCAAAATTAAGTTTCTCCAGTGTGATCTCCGCACTCACTGTGGTTATGCAGAAGAGGATCCTGTTCTTAAGCTATGGTATCTGCTGAACTGTTCTGATGTCATGATGTCTACAACTAAACCAAATGACTCAGCAAACAAAAAACTACATAGAGAGAAAGAAAATAGAAGAGTCTTGGTTTCTCTTTTTTCCCCTGCCTTTTATACTTGACCTTTTTGCCTTTGAATAAAAGGCTCCATCTCACATTAAGTCCTTTTAAAGTCTTGTTTAATTTTTCAGTCATGAAGAAGATTCTTGGAAATACATGTGTGATGATTTACAAATGTAGCTCTTGAGAATGTATCTTCATGTAAAATCTTGAGTGGCATGGCAGAGAAAATCCTCATCTGGTTCAACCTCTTAACCATGACTTTGGTGCTCCAGCCCTCCTAGGTGGGAGGATAACAATCACTAATCTGGCAGGTCAACATGTACCCTTTCCTCTCGGGTTCATGTGGAAAGACTGGTGCATCCTTTGTCCTTAGACAGGGTCTGTGATGTAGAGGCAGACACCTTTACAGATAAGGTCCTTCTTAACTAAAATATCCACTCTTTAAGCTGACCCTCATAGATAAACATTTCTTAATATTTGGGGTTCTGGTGTACTTCTACTGACAAGCCCGAGTTTCTCTCTCTTGCGCATAGTTTCAAGTCTGTCAAAATGCAGAAGCTCCCAGCTACTCTGACTCTCCACTGCCAGAAGTTCACTTGTAATAGTGTCCCTGCCATGTCCTTCAGGGGAAACCATTACTGCAGGAGGACATCCAGCTTTTCAGAGAAGGGCTGTGAAGGAGCTGACTCAAATCTCCCATGGCATACACACAGACACAAACCTGTGCACCACCAACAGGGCCGCCTGACTGTATCCTTAGTCCATGCATGTTCTGATGTGGGGGGTGCGTTCTAGGGAGGTACCATGCAAAGGTGCTCACACAGTCCTGGTGGGGCCCAAATTCCAGGATGCTGGAGGCTTGGCAGTAACACAAACTTTTCTTCGTCTGCTCACAGAGCCACACTGAGAGACTACCGCTAATTATTTTTCAGATTCTTGACAAAAATGCAAGCCAATATTGAGCATATGTGGTTTATACAGTGTTTTTTCTCCTCTATCTACGAGACAATTTTTAAGAGTACATTTTCTTTCATTAGGTTATGAAATGATAACTACATATTAATATATTTTAAGAGTATATGTGTTCAGTTACATGGTTTACTCACATAAAATAATCTCATTTCTGTCATGAAAAAAAATCTAACTACTCTACCAAGTACTCTCTAATACCCGGGTGTAACTTTAGGAGGTCTGTAGCGCCTAAACTTGGGCTCCTAAACTTTTTGTTTAATTGAGTACTTGGATTTTAAAACTGTAAAAACATTTTACTTGCCTTAGACAATTCTTGTCTAAGTGGTTTGTTAATTAAAAATCAGCTGAAGGCACACACAATGCAAAGTCACTGCTCAAATGCTGTAAGTGTTCTAAGAATCTCGGGCGTGATTTCATTGCATTTGGTCTACCACAGCTCACAATTTTGCTTTCAGCGTGTTTCTGGAGAGACAGTAGCTCCACACTCTGAGAAAATGGAATGTTGGAGCAAGTTAGAAGCAGTCACTGCCTAAATCTATTTCAAACTTGCTTGACATTAATATGAACATATTCACACCCTCAGAAATGCATCAACAGAGACAGACAGTAAAGTGCAAAGAAAAGCAGCCTTTTAAAATAGAAACTCAAAAGCCCTGAGAGGAATGCCACATGCTTTGCTGGCTGTAAGTGTCTGAAAGGCTTTTAAAAGATCACAAACATACTCTTCTGACTCTAACTCAGTGCAAGTCAGTATACTAGGTTTTCTTCAAAAATCTGGTTTCTTTTTTCCACTTCTACCTTTCTTATTTGGTATGTCACACAAGGTAGAAAAAAACCACTGGCTGTAACACAAAAATATTTATTTTACATTCTGATCGCATAAAAATTTCAGGCAATATGTTCATTCACTCCAGTATTTTCATGAGCAAATAAATATTGGTCACAAAAGTGGAATACTTTTGTAAAAAGAATCATCTGTCTAAGCAATTCTCCTGATTTAATCATTCTCTGTGCACTTATTTTTTAAATACAGGCAGGGTGGCTAGATCAAATATTGTGCCGTACTGTTAAGCACAGGGAACAAATTTTTGCACGCATGTGTGCTGCCAGGACAGGCTGACAGCGTGCGACGCTAGATAAGTCGTGGCTTCTGTTCTTTAAGGGACCTGAGGAGGCAAAGGCAGCTCCTATCATTCCTCTTCATGTCTGACCGTGCCGCTAATCTGAAGCGCCTCAACACTTTGAACAAATTAACTGGGAAACCTGCAAAATGTTATCA